CCTATCCTATTTTCCCACCCCCCAGAACTCTAAAACCACCATTTTTGCAGGAAAAAATGCTGGGACTAGGGGTATAGAAGTGGGGCTACACAAGCTACTTTTGCCATTTACCTATTCTGTTTAAGCTACTTTTTTACTGCAAACGAAAACGAACCAAACGTTAATATGTGGAAAAACCGAAAGAGGTCAGCTCATTCGTTCAAGCAAAATTGGCTATTCCGTTTATCTTGTGTGTATTTCGAGTGTCCGACACTGACTAAAACAGTACGCTTCTTTTAAGAAAGAGTGAACTTTTAACCACGTCCTCAGACTTCGATACACTAGTAACACTATAATTGGTCCATTAACAGTCAGACTTGAGAAGACAAAACCGACGACAAAAACTCGGCTGAGGTCACATTATTCTTATAATAGCCTAACTTTATTGATACTAGACTATCTAAATCACATCAGTTTGTATGCAACTGCTTGAGTGCCATCAGTCGGTAAGAATAATTAGTGAACCAGTTGGAAGTCCAAAATGAACACCAACCCTACCTTCGCGTTAGCAAAATTTCTCCGAGATTGTCTATTTCGGCCAACTCAGTGTCCAGCAGACAGGGCCGTTCAAGGTCAACTTGAAGGACGCTGGCAAGTTTGCGGCATTCCTTGTTGGTCAATTTGAAAACAGAGTCATAGAAGCCCTCAAGCCGTCGTCTCAGTTCCCTACTTTTCTTCTGCGCCTGTGCGGCCGCTTTCTTGTACTGAAGGAGTTGTGGTCCGAGAGAGCGTCTGACTGCTTCGGTCGCCAGCCTTCGGGCTTCTGCCTTCTCCTTTTCCAACGTCTACCAACCAAGAACGCCGGTCAGCGTGAATGATTAAATGAGCTTGGAGAAAATGGCTGATAGTTAGGAAAATTGAGCTTACTGGTGACTGTTAATAATACTGACTCGGTTGATACCTGGAGATAGAAGTTTATCAAAAGTTTTAGGGAAAAAATCGTTCGTAATGTCGGGTTGTAATTGGTTACATGCGCTCCCTCCCAACTCAGCAGGACAGAGGAATTGGAATCCGCCGCAATAATACACGTAGCGCTGCGCTGTATTTCAGGAAGTGTACCTGTTCCCACCTACTAGCACTAGCTTTAACACAAGTCTTAATGAACTGAGGCGACATTTTGCAGTCCAGGTCAGTAGAAAAGAATGCTGTTCGCTCGTCTTTATTCATCTGAGCTTTCCAACTCTTACTGGAGTGCAATGCCAGAGATGATTTTTCACGTCGGAAGCAAGACAAGACGCCAGTCGATTAAAACCTGGTCGTCCCAGTAGAACACAGTCAATCGGTTTATCAATCTGGCATCGGCATACAGGGCCATGCGCAGTCCCCCCCGGACTGCCGTTAGTGGTTTTTGATTGGGCCCTACTCCCCACAACTTTTGCTTGTTTCCTGTTGCCGCTGTTATCTCTGGCAGTGGAAACAAGTAAGAGTTCAGAAGTTAAGATAAAAAGGCAGGCTTCCGGTGAGCTAACAACCTTATTATTATCTTACTACTTCTTCCCTACTGCCTCCGTTACTCTACTATTTTACTACTTCTTCCCTACTGTACCAGCATTCACGCCCTTAACCGTAAATTTCATTTCCATGGATTTCAGCGCAACGCCGCAATGTCCCCACTCCCATGTTCTGCCGGGTGCCCTAAATAAATGAATCTCTACCGATAATTGTTTCTAAGCAGAGTGAACTGGCGGCTAGAGTAGTGATTTGATTGAGTATATTATTTAATAGTACATTTAGCCGCAAGTTTTGCAACTTTTCTTGTTTAGGGTCAGAATAGTGTAAAAATTCCTCTATTTATAAGATGTTCATGGGAATTACCATTTGAAATTGCTGTTCGGACTTGGAGCACTCCTGTTTGACTTTTGCTTCCACGGCCATTCTGAAGGCCTTAGTTTCTTCGGCTCGTTCCGTGATAAGTGTTCTCAGCTTCTGAAATTCCAAGTGCATGTGTGAGAAGCAGGTACGAAAAAGCTCTCACTATAACTTCTTAAGACCCTTATGATAGATGTAGGGCGACTAGTAGCCAAACCGGATCCTTATCTAATATTTTAACAGGAGATGCTATAGCCATGCAAATTTTTGTAAAGTATTAAAGACTTTCCTAGGAAAGTTTAAAATATAAATAAATATTTTCAACCAAAGGTGAAATAGGATACTCTCAAAGCGGAATTAGTTATCAAGTGTTTATAAAGAGATTTGCACGCTAACCCCTTTCATAGATGTCATTCCAAGCCGACCGTTTATTGAAAATTGAGTTTAAGTTCTATCTCAGTAAGTAACGGCAGGTCACGGTTTAGGATTAGGACATCTGTAACGCAGTTCTAAGATGCAGTTCTGTAATTTCTTCGGTGAAAATGTGTTTTGGCATGTTGTCTCAGAGCCGCACAGAAGAATGGATACCTTGGTTTCCTCTTACAGTTTCCTTTACAAGGACAAAATAACTTGTAATCGAGCGATGCCGAAACGTTCCAAAATAATCCGCCTAATTTTTCCGCACTTACTTAACATATCCGCCTATATTAGGGGTCTCACTCAAGGGGCCTATCAGAAATGAAAATGAAAATAAACATGAAGGTTATTCGCAATTTTGCCAAACACACTCAGATATAAGTCAACTAAGGGACCGGAAGCAAGTCTCTGACTTGGCTGTTTGAGGTCCAAAACATGGGTTGGATTGTTCCGAAACGTAGATAAAGAGCAAATGAGTGCAAAGGCTTGTTTTGATTGTTTGTATGCTCCACTTTTGACGATCGATCTATTTTCAAGCATTAGTAGTACAGTAGTCGCCGGTTATTAAGCCCATGGTTAATAA